GGATTTTTATTCACGCCCAAAAATAAAAATTGAAGTACCGAGCTGAAGTTGTGAAATGTTGATCTTCGTTTATTTCATGGTTTTTTATTAGGGATCAAAACAATATCATTTTGCCACTCTCCGCTTCTAATTTGTTAAACACCAATTTTTACAATTTGCCCGAATAATTAAAGTTTTTACATGACAACTCTGCAAACATATGTGTTTTTTTGCAATCGTCTTGGACTTGTAAACTTCAATTGTTGTCATTTTAAATTGAGAAAAAATGTAATCCGCCAATTTTCGATATGCTTGCCAAAGATTTTTAAAAAAGAATCAACCTGTTTGAAGAAAGAGTAGAGTGCTGCTTTCCTAACGTTGGATTTTTTACTTGTTAAGTTACAGCTTTCCGATCAAGGAATTATTTTGTTGATCATTTTCATATATTTCAACCTGCTGTGAAACCTGGAGACCACCTAAGTTGGATTTCATTTAGTTTGGATATCTTTGGCACCCTCGAATATGAAAAACCGTTGGCCTCGAGCATGAAGTGGTTTGAAAGCGTAACGAATAAAAATAGGTATAAATACTGGGATCCACAAAAGGGAACAATATTTTACTCAAATTGCCGTCTCAATTCAAGAAGAAAACGGGAAAAGTTTTAACATCTGAATGCAGCAACAAAATATTGTGTTTTTTATTGACATTAAATCCTACGGAGGAAAATAAAGTAAAAGTGTTAAGTGCCAATTTCAATTGATTGGCGGTTAGTACCAGCTTAAACTTTGCGCAATCTTTTGGTACCTGTCTAAACCCCCAATACGAAAGCTCGCAACAACGTACTAAAATTCCCAACGCTTAGGCCGAGCAGCACAGAGCGGGAGGGGTAAAAGATCCTCTTATGTGTCGCGGAACCGAAATATATTGGAGGCCGTCCAATTCGGCGGAAGTTATTAATCCGACGTAACCGATCAAGCACTTTCTACCAGAAATATAGATCTGGACCTAGCCCTATTTTGTTGTTTTACAAAGTGCCGAGGAGTTCCCAGAGGTGAAGCCGGCGGCAACGACTGTCGTTTGTATCCGTCAACGTAACCGCGGATTCCTAGTTTATTTTATAGTGTCATTAGTTTAAATTAGCTTAGTACATTTTTTTAGTTTTTTTTTTTAAATTATTTTCGGAAGAAATAGCAAGTGAAACGTGTGACAGGGCAGAGGAACCGCAAAAGAGGGCGTGAGTTTTTTTTTTTGTTGTACAATTTTGTTCTCCAGTTTTCGTTATAGGAACGTCGCCGCAGTCCATGGAAGCGATTTCATCGCTGTTTCAAGGCGTTTATTAAAACCAATCAAAGAAATGGCGTAAGTGATCCGAAAAAAAAAAATTGAAAAATATTGGAGTTTGGTAGTTTTTAGCCACGATTTATTGCATAACCAAAAAAGATACCTCACGTAGGCAAGAGCTTCCGCGCTTAAGAGAGGCTGTACGCTCTCCCTTATGCCCTTCTGGCATATCTTAAGACTCTTTTCTGCTTTCCCATCTACTTGCGAGCGTTTGCTTTAGCTAATGCAATTGAATAACTGACCTGCCATAACGATCGCTGCGCACAGTTTTACATTTACTGGCTAGCCTTTCTCTTGCATATTTATTTATCTATTTACCTAATATAAAACTTATATATATACTGCCCTTCTTTCAATTTGAAATTTCAATCTAAATTTTAGCATTAAGAGCTAATATTTTATTAGTTTACTATTTGCGATGCGTGGTTCTAAGTTGCAATATTAAATATAGTATTTAACATGAATTGGTGCTAGAGTTCTATATGCTGGGCAAAGGAGTTGAATAGTTGGTTGGATAGGAGGCTGCAAAAGCCTTCTTTAAGGGATCACCGGATGAACCGGGAGCGGTGATCAAGGTACATAGGCATAAATGGTCACAACAACACCGTGCCACGAATCGTATGTGTGTATGTGACCGTGTGCGTGGTTAGGTGTATTTGCTCATGTTCGTATTTGTGTCCGATACTTCTCTTGCACGTGAATCCGTACCAAAGGCCAAAGGCCAGAAATAAAAAAATATGACAACGTATTTTTATTTTTGTAAATAATTAAAGACTAATTTGTGTGTTAGACCTTTTAAAATTAATGTTTTATGTAACCTTTGTTTTTATTTCTTTTTGTGCTTGATTTTTATGTTTACTTAAAGTTTTAGTTGTGTTCCCCCTTAATTCCCACATAGATTTTATATTCATTGTATTAATCTATAAGTCTTTACTTAATAAAAGTGTTTAAGTCAGCTGCAGAAACTTGCAGATGTGTGTGAAATATTCAATAGTCTAACACTTCTTATTTTTTCAAGGTTGAACTTGTCCAGCAGAGCCACCGTGTTTGTTTTGTGTACTGTGTGTTTCTATTATGAATATCTACTGAATTGAATGCCCTTATTTAAACTATTGAATACATTTGCAAAAAAAATTTTTGTATTTTGGAAGCGTAACAAATGTAAGAAATCTTCCGTTTTACAATATGAATGTGATTGGCTGAGTACAAAGGAATAAATTTGATTGAAATGTGCCCTAAATGTATTCCAGAAAAAGGCGGAAAGTGCTCCAAGTGGCCGTGAAAAACATAATTTTATGGAGTCTTCAACGAGAACAAAGGGACGGCGTATAGCTCAGCTGGTCCAAATTGATAAGTCCGCTGTTTCTACATTACGCAACAAAAATCAAAGCCAAAATGTGTTGCCAGCGGATCCCATTGAAGTAATTTCTCTTTTAAGGGAGACCGGAATGACCAAACAATAATATTTTGGGTAGGAAATTTTGTGAACAGCAAAATATCATTTGGTTTTCTTCCAAGCTTCCAAAGTTTATTAGATAACACAGCCTCGAGCATATTAGAGCTTCAATCCAATGTTGTTGAAACCATAGCATATGATTCTATTGCACATCTCTTATTAATTGGAAAATGGGGTTTGGATGGAAGTACGGGCCATTGCGAATAAAAGCAAAGTTTCTCTAATAATGATTTAGACGACAAAAGTTTATTCGTTACATCATACGTACCCCTCCAACTTATTTCAAAAACTGATCAAAAAATCATTTGGCCTTCGTCAACGCGTTATTGCATACCAGTTCGATTCCAGTTTAAACGAGGGGGAACGTTGTGAGTTGCTGCTGCGACTGCGACTCTACATTTATACCCGATACTTAGTCAGTATAGCTCTCCTCCGGCAGGCGTTGCTAATATTAAACGACACGACAACGAGTGCGTGCGAGAGAGACAGAAAATCAGTCTGAGCGTGACGTCGGGCGCTGCGTAGCCACTGCAAATTGATTTGTTCCTTTTGGCTATAAAAATTATCTGATCTGATCCAGATTCAGCAATCTAATAGATATGGTCATTATCTATGATTCTGCGTTTTTAGTTTTCTCAAATCTGCAATATTGTGGATGCAACAGATTTTCGTCCTTTGTGGGGGCGGAAGGGGGTGGGGCGAAATTTTGAGATATACGTTTTATAGTGACATCTTAAAGGAGTTTGTGTACCAAATTTGGTTACTCTAGCCTTAATAGTCTCTGAGATTTGTGGATGCCTCAGATTTTCGTCCTTTGCGGGGGCGGAAGGGGTTGTGGCGAAAGCTTGACATAAAACGGTCAAGGTCCGATATCACAGGAGTGTGGATACCAAATTTGGTTGCTAGCTAGCTCTTATGGGTTCTGAGATCCTTGAACTCATATTTTGCAATTGGCCATGAAACCGACCATGAAACCTGTGTGTTAGAGTGAGACAGAGCGAGAAAGAGTGAAATTGTTTTCGTGATTCTGGCTGTAATAATTATACGATCTGGTTCAGATTTTGCACTCTAGAAGATATAGTCATCTTCTACGATTCTGCGTTTTCTGTTTTCTCGAATCTTTGAAATTGTGGGTGCCACAGATTTTCGCCCTTTGTGGGGGGGGAAGTAGGCGGGGAGAAGTTTTGAAATATACTTGTAACAATGACATATCACAGAAGTCTGGATATAAAATGTCGTTGCTCTAGCTCTTATAGTCCTTGAGCACTAGGCGCTTATAAGGACGGACAGACAGACATGGCTGAATCGACTCGACTAAAGTGTCTTGTCTAAAGTGGCTATGTATTCCTACGTTGTTTCTAGATTTATCTATTTAAAGCCGATGAAGAAATAAGTTTATAGCATTATAGATTTTTTTGAAATAACCATATTACTGCCATAAATTGCCTTCCATAATTTTATAGACCTGAAGATAAGAGAATAATTCATTTTCCCTTGGTACTTTTCATGGTCAGAATCGTCTAGATGATGATTAGTTTTCATACAAATAGACGGAACGTCGATAGAACCAAAGACTATACAATACCAAGATGTTTTCAATTTTCGTTTGACGCTTCATGGTACGGGCGCGCGGGGCTATTACTTCAATTCTCTTTTACGCTACCTTCGCCTCCGAAATGCTACTCGGCTTCGTCAATGCCTCGGTCAGCGTCGAGTCGGTGTGTCTCGAGAGAAAGAATACAAAAACAAAATATGAATCGTCTGCGTGCCGAAACCATAGGGCAGCGTGGTCGCTGATGTCTTTGGCGCGGCACAGTGGGGACTCAGCCGAAATAGTAAAAAAATTGTATGAGTGCTTTAGATAAATTTAATGTACGCATCTAATAGAGAATTTTCCAATCGAATTTTCCCACTGTGCCGCTCCAAAGCATCGGCGATCCGCGACCACCGCTTCGACGGTGCTGAGGCTCGAGAGTCCAGAATTGCTGAACGAAACCGATGGGCAGCGGGGTCGCGGTAGAGACAAAGTACAGGCGAAAAGGGAATTGAAACCCCGCCCGCTCCCTCGTGCCTTTTGGGTTCTAATGTTAGGACCCGCCATAGAACAGCTTTTTGGTCGCTCATGCAACATCTTGGTATTGTATAGTCTTTGATAGAACGTATTAGTTTTCGGTTCTAATTAAGATAGTACAAATAATTTTACCTTGTGAAAGGGTAAAAAATATCAGTTGTAAATTTGAATGTATTGTTTATTAGTATTAGTAATTAGTAAAAATATATTACCTGTAAATCCACTATCCTCACCGCCTGATGCTTCGCGAGAACATCGACTATCTTCTTTGACGCGCTCGCCACTTAGCTCACTGTCGCTATTCAAACTGTCATACTCTTCTGACTCAGACTTTATTACATTTGAACGACGCTTTTGTCTCTTTTCAGTATTCAAGTGCTTATATTCATCACAACCTTCGATGTTTGCGTTAGTGTTGGTGCCGCTTACACTGGTTGAAGCTGATCTTTTAACTTTTGTCCCAGAGCTGCATAAGGTACTATCAACTGCTAATCGAGAGTCATAATTCACTGATTTTCCTGTATGACTTATTGGGATGTTCCCCGATTGGTTTTCATGCTCTGGTAAATGAAATGTTGCGTAAGGGTATATATCTTCTGAGTATTCTGGTATGCGCTCGAGTCCGATAACAGATTCAGGGGGAGATTGTTGGCAAGATTTTCGTACCGTACCATAAAAGTGTTCTCGGGGTTGAACAACCTTGCCTCCTGTGCCTCTAGGGGACCTCAGTGAAATCTCGTTACTAGCAAATCCATTGCGAGGATCTAAAAAAATGTATTAAGTAAGTATTTATCTGGTGAATTGATTAAACATAACACTACGAACAATTTTTAAAGCATATTAAAGCTCCAATCAATGCGAGAATAGTTCCAAAAATGGATGACACAATTACAGCTAAAAGATGAGCATCGGTGAATACTGTCTGGACGCTGGGCAGCTCTACACGACCCAATTCATTTTTAATCTCTACAAAGTCTAATGTTTTAAAATAAAACTCCTTGTGAGTGGACCCGGCATTGTTGTGGGCAGTCATTCGTAAGTTATATGCAGTTCCGGGGTCTAAGTCACCTATATTGTATCTTGCCTAATGGTAGAAAATTCAATTTAATTTTATCATCATAAAAATTTGTGTTTTATACATACATTTGTTTCAATTTTGTTAGAAACTATTATCCATTCAGTAGAAGACTCATGCAGCTTGAATTCTATACTGAAATACAGTATGGGGCACCCCCCATCTTGCCACGAAGATAAATCCAATGTAATCGATGTTGTATTCAAACGAATAAAACTCTGAGTCGGCGGCGCAGACGGTTTATCACCTGTTAAAGAAAGCATTAAAATAAACTAACTAATTTTATCCGAATCGTACCTTTAGTTTTTACTGATTCCACTTCGCTAGAAGGACTCGTGCCAATTGTATTATATGTGTTGATTGTGAATTGATATCTAGTTCCGCATTGAAGGTTCTCTAATACATAGGAGTTAATACGGCGATCCAATTGTAGTTCCTCCCACTCGGCCGGCTCGCGTCTGAAAGTTAATGTGAAACCTTTTAACGGCGCACCACCAATGTCTTCTACTCTCCATTGTAAAGATACTGAGTTTTTGTGAACCGAATTTACGGAGACTATTGGAGCTGAAGGCGGCACTATTAAAGATTTAAAAATAGTTTTTAATATTATGTTAATAGTGATTATTGGACACATTTACCTTGTACAAATAGCTGATATGTAATATGGTCAGAACCAATCGGGTTTCTCACAACACAGGAGTAATTTCCTTCGTTGGGCCGTTGAATGTTCCGGAGACTCAATGTATTGTCATTGTTTACTTCCATGCGGATATGTTTTTTTAAACGAGTGTTTAAAACCTTCCACTCTGCCGTCGCTTTTGGGTTACCAACAAAAACGCATGTCAATTTAATATCGGCTCTCCAACTAACACTCAGTGTCTGACTAAATGAAATTATAGCTGCTGGTACTAGTGTATTGGGTACGAGTTTAATAACTGGTGTGCTGGGACCTTGGCCCACTCTCGTGGATGCTGTCACCCAAGCCTCATATACTTCTCTCATATTTAAGTCTTTAGCTTCGAAATGGCGATTATGAGCTGGAAGAACTTCCTTTAGAATTTTTAATTCCTGTCCCTTTTCAAGTACTCTTATGAATACATTATATTTAGTTATCAACCCATTAGGACGTCGTGGTGGAAGCCAGCTAATAATTACTGACGATTCAGTACTCACAATCGATTTTACACGTTCTGGTGCATCAGGAACTGCCTCCTCAGTAGTACACGATACAGCAGGACTTAAATTACCTTCACCAGCACGAGTAAAAGCCAAAACCTGAACGCTGTAATTTGTAAAAGGATGGAGGCCATGAAGTACAGTGCTCTGAGCTGATGTAATCTTAGTTTCTCGTCCGTTGTACTCGTTTTCGAAATATACTGGTTCATAGAATATCTTGTATCCTTGAATAATTCCATGGCATAATTCCTTGGGTGGCGACTGCCAAGATATTTGAATATTTTGTGCAGTTAGAGCAATACATGATACGGATTGCGGGCTTGCCGAAGGGGCGTCTTCTAAGGTATGACCTAATGCCACTTCGCTTGGGGGCCCATCACCCTTCACATTATAGGCTGATATAGTGATTGCATATTGCGTATACTTTTCCAATTCGATTAAGCGGAAGTCATTTATACCTTCTGTTCTTAAGCTACTAACTTTCGTATTATTTTTTACCCTATTTGGGGAGTTATGTTTTTGATATGTAATGGTGTAACCTAACAACTCTCCATTCCAGGTATCCCGCACAGGTGCCCGCCAAGTTATCAATAGCTGAAATTAATTAAGAAGAAAAAAAGGCCATTTTAATATTCAATGATAACCATTCCGAACACAAAAGAGCTTCTGACAATCAGAAAATAAATGACCTTTTCCTGATAAGAGAATTTTGAATATTAGCTTGACTTGCTTTAGGGTGTGCACTTGAACCTTGCTTGAGTAAATTACCTGTTGCGCTCCCAAAGGTTCTGCAGTTACATCTTGGGGAGGTGCAGATGGTACTTCCGAGTCCGTTTGAAAGAATAAAACATCACTTGGAGCACTGGTACCTAAATGATTTTCTGCATATAGGCGAATGTGATATGACTGTGCTGGCTTAAGTGATCCTAATTGTGCAGTAGTTCTATCCCCAGGTATAAGTTTTTGGTTATTTTGTTCATGCCAAACATCTAAATAATGGGAATAGAAGAATATGCAGTTTAAGAAAGAAGTAAATGCGCTGTAATTAACGTGCCCACCATAAAATACCCGCTATTTGATTTTATTCTTCTGCTGTAAATAAGACCTAATCTAATTGCTGTATTACAAAAAAAGTTTCTTAAAAAGTTTTGTTTTTATTGCACTTTTTATAAGTGTGCGTTTAGTCCTAGAAACCAAAGTGCATATACAAATATATCCTTTATCTGTTAATATGCAAAAAAATTTTGTATAGCCTAATAGGCTCTGCACACTGAGCCCATCCCGGGGAAATGGTGGGATTTTTTGACAGATGTGAAAGTCGAATTCACTCTGGCACCATCCGCCATCCACCATCCGTCAAAAACAGCTGACTGATCTGAGTACTATGCTTAAATATTGAATAAATGTATTTAATGGTGAACAAATAAATTCACAGAAAGTTGGTGAACCATGACTGCTACCATCGCGATGGTCCAGAAGTCGTTTTTTTTGGCATAAAGTCTAGTTTTAAAGCTAGAGCCTTGAAACTTTGCACAATTATTTTGAGTATTTTTATAAAATTTCGTTTTTTTTTTGTTTTAGATTCGACCACGCCATCGACCCCCTTCCCCAGAGCACCTCAGATTTGTTTAACACAGAGCTCGAAATTAAAGCTAGAGCTTTTAAATTTTGTACATATACTTGTATACTTGTACTTGTTCTTGTTTTTTTTTTGCATAAAGTCGGAAGTTTAAATTACATACTTCAAATTTATTACATTTTGTTGTTAAATCATTATACATAAAATCTTATTTCAAATTATCTATATTTATATATAAACTTTGGAAATTTATTACACACTAATTTTTTTCTTAAATGACCTCATCTTCTTCTTCTAGTTCTATGTCGTATATATTATAATCAGAATCAGAATCAGATTGCGAGTCATTTTCGTATTCACATGAATCTTTGCTTTCGGTAGATGGCAACTCCAGAAGGCTTAATACTTCTTTGGAAAGAGGCTTTTTCTTGTTTTTCCTTTCCCTCTCCTTTAAACAGACACTCGATAGTAATGGATCCGAGGAATCTATCGCTCTATAAAAAATGTCAGTCATAGTATTTACCCGACTATTTTTTCTTGCATGTGATAATCTGTCTTTTTTGTACATTTTATTCCGTGCCTCTGAAGCATTTTCTCCTAAACATCCAAGTGGAACCAACGTCGAATTGTTTATTTGAAAACCGTGGACTAATACTTTATGAATCGTAGGAGACATTGGGTACCACGGATATGTTTGCATATATAAGCAAAAAGTACTCTCACAAAAAGAACGAAATTTTTCCGAATTTATATAATAGTTACACGAAATTGCGATTAAGATTTTCTTTGGTGTCTTTCAATTTTCATCAACAATAATTGTTATTTTAGAAGCCATTTAGCATGGGTGGTCATAAACCGTTCCATCATTTTGTTGCACTTCAGAAGGTTTCTTTTAATGAAGGATTCAAAATTACTGATTTTTTTATCTATTTCTCTTTTTTTTCATTTTCCAAATGGTTGTTATTGATTTTACTGTAAATCCAATGTGAGACAGATTTTTTTTGTCGATTGTTGTTGCGCCAAATATCGATGAGATCGCTATGCAAAAACTCGAACTTTCCTGAATATTAACAAATTTAAAGAAAAGGGGCCAAAACGGGCCAAAGTTGTTACTTTCCAGTCAATTGCAACATTTGTAGGTACAAACTCACATAGTTAGTTTTTCTCAGCAGAACTCAGTTCATTTGTTATATTCTACGAAACACAGGGGACGCAGTTAAATTTTCTACAAAAATACACATAAATTGGCCATTGCACAACACTTAAATCTTGAGACTACACATAAAATAACTAAATACATTAGATACTACATACCTTTATCTTCATTTTCCATTTTTAGCCGAATTTATTTGAGCAAATTTACTCGATCGCCACGTAAAAATGTAAACAAGTAATTTGGCGCCAATTTTTTTCCCACAATCAGTTGATCGATTGTTCACTTTCAAAAGCTCGCCAAAATCTTCAGGGAAGCTAAATAATTTTTTTTTTTTCATTTTTAATATGTATGATGAATTAACTTTGAGAATTTGCAAGAAAAAACGTAATCCATTCACATAAAAATTTCGACTTTATGCCAAAAAAAACGAATTCTGGACCATAGTGCATCGGCAGGCACGGGGAAGAGCAGTACTCTCTCTGGTCCCCAGTTCTCACACCTCTAATGTGGCGGAATCTGACCATGTCATCGATCGGAGTAATGAAAACTAGTCCACGCGGATTCACACGGATGGATAAAGACACCGATCCTCCAGATCATTAAGGAGGCAGAGGGACATGGGTGGCGTCTACCTGTGACTCAAAAGGGGTGCCCATGGGATAAAGACTAATGACAAAATGACTAATGACCAAAATGTTTGAGGATGTTTTAACTCCGCACTTGCAACATATCTACAAGTCACTTATATCTCCAACTCAACATGGATTTATAAGGCGGCGATCAACAACCGCGAGCTTTCTAGAGTTTACCTCTTTCATTATTAAAGGCTTTCGAGTTAACTTACAGACGGATGTTATTTACACCGACTTTAGTAAAGCATTCGACTCTGAAAACCATTCCGTTTTAGTGCATAAACATGACCTTTTAGGGTTTCCGCGCAACCTCCTGAGATGGATTTCTAGCTAAATTTGTTCGAGGTCTCAAAGAGTCCTCTTCAAAACTCCCTCTCTTCACCAGTCAAGGTTGCAGCCATCTAGGCCCATTACTCTTCACACTCTTTATTAATGACTTTCCTTCGGTATTAACATACTCTCGAATACTTCTGTATGCGGATGATGGTAAACTCTGTGTCCAGTATAAGGATAATTCATTTCATTCTCTCTTGAGAATCATGTGCAAACTTGTTACACCTTAATGCATCAAAAAGCAAAGTAAAGACATTTCATCGTTCTTGCTCCTCGTGGCTACCTATACCCTATTTGGTGGTTCTCTTGAGAGAATTACACTGATGGATGAACTTGGCTATGGGCGTGGTTGGGTTTATAAAGAGGTGGCCAAAGGAATTTGTGTATGGTGACCTCAGTACACAGCACACCAGGACCGTATAGAATCAGTCCAGAAAAACTTTTTAATCTTTGCTCTGCGGGGCCTTGACTGGAATGAGGGTGTGAGACTCCCATCTTACTCTAGTAGACTGCTATTAGTAAACCTCCCATCCTTAGTTAACCGTAGAAAAATTCTTGGTGTGATTGTTATGCACAACTTGATCAGGAGTGATCAATTTGGTATTTGTATTTTGAATGCATGCAGTTCGAATATTAGTCTTAAAGCTATCTTTCCTGCATGCTCGCGTATAAGCCTTCTGCTGGTTGCAGACGGGCCACTTGATGCTGCAGTAATTGCATCGCCTCTTGAAAGATGCAGCCATGGCATGTAAAAATAAATTTCGCAAGTTTTAGAACAAAAATGTTGCTATTAAACTATGACAATTTTTTCTGTCTGATGTATTCCAATTAATTAATATTTAAGAAATGCTTCTGTTTTAAAACTTCGAATATTTTGTTTGTTAAAGTGTCCTGTTCAAGTGTGACAAAATTATGAACAGGGTCTGATAGATAGTGGAATACCCGATTAAAGTGGTAAAATTAGTGTTCAGTTATGGTTAAATCCTCCTTTAATTGCAATACTTTGAAGGCAGAAGGAAATATTGCGGACAGGGTTGATCATAGATCATAGACATCTCGTGTCTTAATCTCGCGCCTTTCTTTTTTTCGCTTTCGCTCTCGCGATCTGTCTATCTTTTAAATGTCTATACAAACACTTACATAACTCGAGCTCTCGTTATCTCGCTACATAATTTCGCTATACTTTCGTCGGTGCATCGCATAATACATACTTATACATAAAAGTACTTATATTTATCAGAAACAACTTGAGTTTTTAATAAATATATTGCAAAGTACCATATTAAACGAGGGGGAACGTTGTGAGTTGCTGCGGACACCGCAACTCTACAGTTATACCCGATACTAAGTCAGTATGGCTCTCCTCCGGCACACGCCGCTAATATTAAACGACACGACAAAGAATGCGTGCGAGAGAGACAGAAAATCAGTCTGAGCGTGACGTCGGGCGCTGCGTAGCCAGTGCAAATTGATTTGTTCCTTTTGGCTATAAAAATGATCTGATCTGATCCAGATTCAGCAATCTGATAGATATGGTCATTATCTATGATTCTGCGTTTTTAGTTTTCTCGAATCTGCAATATTGTGGATGCAACAGATTTTCGTCTTTGTGGGGGCGGAAGGGGGTGGGGCGAAATTTTGAGATATACGTTTTATAGTGACATCTTAAAGGAGTGTGTGTACCAAATTTGGTTACTCTAGCCTTAATAGTCTCTGAGATTTGTGGATGCCTCAGATTTTCGTCCTTTGCGGGGGCGGAAGGGGTTGTGGCGAAAGCTTGACATAAAACGGTCAAGGTCCGATATCACAGGAGTGTGGATACCAAATTTGGTTGCTAGCTAGCTCTTATGGGATCTGAGATCCTTGAACTCATATTTTGCAATTGGCAAAACCGACCATGAAACCTGTGTGTTAGAGAGAGACAGAGCGAGAAAGAATGAAATTGTTTTCGTGATTCTGGCTATAATAATTATACGATCTGCTTCAGATTTTGCACTCTAGAAGATACAGTCATCGACGATTTTTAGTTTTTAGTTTTTAGTTTTCTCGTATCGTCGAAATTGTGGATGCCACAGATTTTCGCTCTTTGTGGGGGCGGAAGTGGGCGGGGCAAAGTTTTGAAATATTCTTGTAGCAGTGACATATCACAGAAGTCTGGATCCAAAACATCGTTGCTCTAGCTCTTATAGTCTTTGAGCACTAGGCGCTGAAGGGGACGGACAGACGGACAGACAGACATGGCTCAATCGACTCGGCTATTGATTCTGATCAAGAATATATATACTTTATAGGGTCGGAAACGATTCCTTCTGGACGTTACACACATCCACTTTTACCACAAATCTAATATACCCCAATACTCATTTTGAGTATCGGGTATAAAAAGCTCGGTAGTTCAACAATCTCCTTTTTTATCTTCTTCATGCATATTGCACATGATACTAGGATATACGATTTTGCATCCATCCGTTCCAGATTCAGACAGACAGCTTTCTTTTGGACCTTATGTACATTTTCCCGAGTAAAGTATTCCTCTTGGAATTAATGTAATATTCGGTAATAAAAAGAAAACAGTATTCCTTTCCTTCTTTTATGTGCTAAGCCTATTGTAATAGATAAGTAAAATTGGTAAACTACGATACATACCTCCTGATTTCTTATATTGTAATATGTAATTTGATATTGGTTGAGAGTCTCGATTGTTTCCTCCACCGCCACCTAAAATTACTGAATCCTGATCATTTGGCGACCACGCCAATGTCACAGAACGGCTTCCCAAATCCATAACGTGTAAGTTGACCGGAAAAGTTGGAGGTTCTTGGACCTGCAAATGTACGACAGATCTATCATGACCGTATGCGTTGTTGGCAATGCATGAATATTCTCCTCTATCAGTAAGAGCTGTGTGTAATATTGTCAGTTCAGATAAAACTCCATAAGCTAAAGGCGAGTTTTTGATGTGATATCGTATTTCATAAGCAGGATCAATTTTATTAGCTTTGGCTCTCCAAGACATTTCCAACGGCCGATCTCCAGTTGCTTCACATGCTATCGTTACACGTTCACCGCGTCGTATGGTAAACATTTTTTTAGAAACTGTTACCGAAGGACCCACTGTATAGAAAATCAGTTTTACAATTAAAGTAATATTAGCATATTAAATAAAAAATGTTTCATATCTTACCATGAATGGTCAATTTTATTAAAGTACTTAGTCCAACCCCAATTCCATTGTTTGCCTGACATAAATAGTGGCCCTCGTGCTCTCGTCCGACCTTTGATATAATAAGCGAACCATTGGCGTGAGTCTCTATAACAGAGTGTGAGTTTCCATTGCTAACTCCATAATTCAGTTCGCGATACTCCCCAGAGTCTCCTATATTTAATAATACTCATGTGCTCATAATGTTCTAGACAAACCGCAACTTTCTTACCGATAGATTGCTTCCATTGAACTGTAGGCTCGGGAAACCCATCAGCAGTACATGACATTATTACTAAATTACCAAGTATTGCATCTTGGTCAGTAGGTTTTAAGACCCATCTAGGAGGTACTAAATAAAAATATCTTTATTAGCAAACGTATATAATGGTCCTATTAAATGTATTTTCTTGCACATTTGTCATTTTTACCTATGGTAAGTACATTTATGAATACATACAAATGTTCGAAATTCATGCACAAACAATAAATATACAAAACTATTCAACTTACCATACAATTTGAAACTCAAGTAATAAAGATAGATCAATATACTCGAATAATCAGACTACAAGTGGCTATTGCTTAAATATGTGTAAATTATTATATACATAGCTCGATGTAAGTTACTTTAAAATTGATATTATACTGATATTATATACTTTTTTCAGTTTTTATATAGAACTCAAGAATTATTTTATATGTACAAAAAAATGCTTAATACAATCGAATCAGAACGTTTTAGTCTAGGAAAACATGTTTTATTAGGTCGGAAACGAAATTATGGTTGTTATTTAATTAATTCAGTTATAATTATAGTTTATTATAGTATGTACTCTAAATTTCATTTTATTTTATGCATTTATATACTCGATGAAGACCAGTTATTATCTCAAAATGTAAGAGGACCGATGGAAGTGAGTTAGCCTAATTGCTTGGAGTTCCCAAAGGAAGGATAATTTTTCGACCAATGGTCGTTAACAATATACAAAAATGTATTATCAAACCTATAGTATACAGCCTGTATATTTATTATTCGTCATGCATATTCATGTCAGCGCTTTAAATTATTTTATGTTCTGCACAATAATGCAGGCACGCTGGAAAATTAAGAAATTAAAACTGACCGACCCAGTGAGCTGAGCGTATGGAGTAGAATTACGGCCTATGCCGGGTCTTGGAAATGTTCTCTGAGCTGAAGAATTACAAATACGGAAGTGCCATGTAAATAACCTCCTAGACGATTGGCTCGGTTGCCTGGCAGGATCCGTGAGACCAATTACTATGACAGAGCCTCTATCACGGCCAGAATACCAAGAATACCCAAGATTTCAAATTTACAAGATTTAATATAATAATATTAATAACGATATTAATTCAATAAACAATAATCATTTAAATAAATGTTCTCTCTTATTTTTAGATCGATTTGTATATGTACAATGTGCATATGCTCGTTTAAAGTCTGTAAAAAGTTTCATCGATTTTCAACTAGTGGGTTGAAATCTGTTGACAACTTGTGCATCGGAGTATGCCATTATTATTTCCATGATTATGTCTCCTTGTCCAATTCCTTTCCACCGCGTTATAAACTGCGTCCAGACAGAAAACATTATACCGTATCGGATATTAAAGAATATAAGGACACCAAGACGAAAGATCGAAAGATACTTTACTGTAAAACCTTTAAATTGGTTTAGTTACAAACCAAATTGACAGATGGTAAGACAGCATATATTTATTTACTTTTAAACTATTTGCAGTTTTAATTTGACAATAATAAAAAACCAAGTGGAAAAAATGCGCAATATACGTTTATATGTACTAGAATTGTATTCTTAAAACCTTAGTGCTATAACATTTTACCTTTCGAGTCCGTTTGAGTGTTGGGATGCATGTGCATAGTGCGAAGTGCGAAGTGCTTTTTACCTAATTCAAATAAATATAACCTATGCCTTATTTAAAACTGCCATATTTTACTAAACATAATGTTGTTAAATATTATGTTTTTAACAGAAAAAATCATACTCAAAAAGACCCGTACAGCTTACATAAAAATGCCAATAGACTCTAAAGATAATCTATGCATATTGACCCAATGTCCATAATAATTATGTCTGACCAATAAATAATAATAATAATAGTCAATAATAATGACACATAATGTTTTATTTTTTCATCAAATATACATTAAACTCGAAGTGGAATACAAAAAACCAATTTGGAGCTAATAAGAGATTGATACATATCCTTACTAATTGCGACAGGACATACCTATTTAATGACATACCCATTAAATTAAACAAGTGCTTAAGCTAAAATTTAAGTTTAGTTTATTAGTTGCCCCTAACGACCATTCGTGTAAATGATATTTATGATATAAATAATATCTATGACTTAATGACATACAAGTTGAACCGATCTCAAAACTCAAAGGTTCTACAGAACACAAATACATGTTCTCTCCTTAACGAGTTGTTCAATTCGATTTATGTTGGTGTTACTGACAAAATGAACAGTGACAATGCTAGGGAGAAACTTCAAATAGCGCATTGGAAAATAAATACCTACTGATCAGAATGTAATCAAAATGCGACGTAGTCCTCTGGTTACAGCTTGGTTTTATTGATATGCGATACTCAGTTCGCCCAATACGTTTGATTCACTAAAGTTTTATAAAGTGCAGAAAAAGAACGCAGGTTTTTTGGTTCAAGACGTGAAGTCTGGCTGGAGTCTGGTTAGTCACTGATTTTATTGTACAAATGTATCCCCTCATATAGCTACAAGAGGCTTATGGGAAGGGGCACACAGTATCTCCCTTTTCGGGGATCATTAAATAAAGTGGAGGACCATACATTTGACATTTCATACTTGACCTTCATCCCTTTTATTGGTCGGAGTCTTGTTTTTTAAGTGGTTTATATTTTTATTTAAATGTGTGTTCCTTTTCTGCCCTGACATTAGTGTTAATTGAATCATTTTAAAAATGGCTTAATTAAACCCTTAGCAATTGTATGTATCAATCTTTTCTGAGCGCCCTATAATATTTTCATTATACCTGTATTGAGTTTTATTTTTGAGTGAAAAAATTAAATTTTGATATGTACATACTATGCAGATCTCCGTGGCTTCACTCACAACCAAGTCCACTATAATTCATTCAAATTAAATTTTATTAAGTGAGTGCCAGCTTCATAGAATTCAGAATTCAGTGGTATGAGTTAGAATGAAACAGTGCACAAAAAGAAATGAATGAAATGGCATAGCCGTTTATTGACACATTGATTTCGTTTCTTTCTTTATTTTTTTCCTTACGAACAGCAAAAGAACAACAATTAAAAGACATTTTGTTCTTTGAGTATTCCAAAATTCAAGCTCACACACTCAAACTCTAAAATTTGCATTTTATTTCCTTAATTTTCTTAAGTGGCATTATTAATATAGCTTAAAAATAGTTATTACCACCAATAAATATCCCAAGAACTTTATAATAATAACACTGTGCGATAGTGATTTTGTACTTTGCTCTAGACAAAAAGCTTGTTAAGCCCAGGCTGAAAAGATCTTATGACCATACTTACAATTTGCAACATACCCGAAAAAAGAAACATTTAACATGGTAGAAAACGTCAAATTTAGCTTGATATTATTTCAGTATAGCCATTGTATGGTAACGATTAAAAAATTAAATGACAGGCAATACATTTCTGTTATAAACCCATCAATTTGGATATAGGCGAGGAGAATGCCAATTTATGGAAGTGCGCAAATTCACCGAAACGCGGATTTTGGAGTTATTAATTTGTAATTTATATAAGTATGTATTCATGTATGAGACCTACTCTTCCTACAATAAGGAAATGTAGATGATATTTCAATATATTTCAAAAAAATGTGCTAGATAATTCCTATGGTCTTTTTTATTATTTATATGCATATACATATTAGGTGAATTTCTACTGTGGACTTTGTGTACTTTTGTGCAGAGTAAACATTACTGTTCGGGCGAAGCCCGAGTGTAAATTTTATACCATTGTTTTATTGCCTATCAATTCACTTTCTTTTCTATTTTGGTCATTATACTAAACTAACGTAACGTAAGCGTAGCTTTATCTATGCTCGCTCAGCAACATGCTCTCATTTAATCATCTATTCTTATCTATGCTCGCTCTTGTTATCTTTTCTTTCCTATGCCGTCGCTAAGCCGTCAGCAGCTGCGCCTGCTCTAGCAGTTACCGCTTGATATAGTTGGAGAACAGACCCCTTTTGTCCCCAATCTATTACTTTGGCTCGAGATCGGCTCGCTTGCCTCATCCAAGTGTTTCACTCTAATACTATTGTAAAAGGCTCTGGCATCTTTGGCCACCCTCAACACACAAATACCTATAATAAAATTTATAACGTTTTCGGAAATTAATAATTTGTGAAATTATTGAACAATCATAGTCAGCGAAAAAGCTCGTTGTCTCAACATTTGGTGACCCCGACGTGATCGTCAGTAACAATTTGGAAATAAACAATTATAAACAGTGAAAATTATCCGCTAAACATAACTGTTCGAACGCGAATCGGTTAGTTCCCATTTCGTCGCGCGCTTGCTTACAAGCACTAATACAGCTACGTGCATTAGCGGCTTCGGGTTCGCTGCACTTGCGCTTGCATACCAAAAAAAATCAAACGGTTGGTTCTTCGATTCTTCTTTGTGCTTTGCTCGCTGCTGCCTGTCGAAAATGGATGAGTCTAATGACGTGCCGGAAAACAGGGTGTCTTTTTACAAACTAAAGGCACTCTCAATATACAAAAAAGCCGTTTCACTTCGAGAGACGATATTGAATGATGAAAACAACCCAATCAGTGAAGATGCGCTAATTGTTCATTTAAAATTCTTGGAAAAAATGTCCGACTCATTTAATGTTACTCATTCTAATTTAGAAGAGCTTGATGTAAGCGAAATTGGCAGCGACTTAAGCAACAACTTTGACGATTTGGCGATGGAAATCGAAGTTCGTATTCGCTCAGCACTCCGCAGGACTACCCAGAACATGCCGCATCACTCAACGATACGACCCGAGCTCAACGTTACTGCCTCCGGAAATGTACGGTCACGATATCATATTCCTGACATTAAACTTCCCACTTTCCGTGGAGGTTATACTGAGTGGGCAGACTTTTACTCGATGTTTAGCACAGTAATAGATCAGGAGCCCTTTCTATCAAAGATTGAGAAGTTCCAGCACCTGCGCTCATGTTTGGATGGACCTGCCCTGGAGGCTGTTCGCTCTTTGGAAGTATCGGAGAGCAATTATGATATTGCATTGGACATTTTAAACAATCGTTTCAATAATAAACGTT